ACTATAGCTCTTATGTGATGGTTGTCGGTTAGAGAAACTACAACATAAGTTATTGTATTCTTATATATACAATTATTTGTATTTTTACATATATTTCAGAATTTTGTTGTATCCTTGCATACACAGAGTTGACAACATGTTTTTAAACAGTTTGTTTATTTATGTTGCACTTATTTTAAATTGCTTTATATTGAAATGAGTTCAGTCATATTGAGTTGAGTATTCGAAGTTGAGTATCCAGAGTCGAATATCATATCCTTGAGTTGAGTATCTAATCTATGAGTTGAGTATCTTATCCTTGAGTACTTCCAAGTTGAGTAAGTTTGAGTAGTTTTGAGTATCCTTGAGTATTCCTTGAGTTGAATAAGTTTGAGAAGAGGTAAGTATGTTTCCTTTTATAAAGTTTCAAGCTTATGTTTATGCTTTAGAATCCTCTTACATGCTCGTACATTCCACGTACTGAGCTATTTGGCCTGCATCTTTTCATGATGCAGACACAGGTATTCTGGATCATCAACATGAGTTTCGTTGATACATCCGAGAGTTCGAGTTAGCTATGGTGAGCATCCTTGCTTCCAGAGGATTTCATTTACCTTTCAGTTATATCAATTGTTAGGATGTCGTGGGTGTTTTCCCGACTCCCATCTTTATCAGTTAGAGGCTTCATGTATAGTCAATATAGTTGAGAAGTCTGTATCATTTATTTTATTAAATGTTTTAAAGACTAAAGTTGCCTTTTTATGATGAGCTGTATATATATTTTATTATATAGAGTTTTCTTTGGACTTAAAGTTTGTATTTAAGTTTTATGAACTTTTATTTCAGTTTTAAGCTTTTGTATGCTAAAGTTAGTCTTCCATTTGTAGTCAGCCAGGATGAGGGTTCTCTTGGGAACCAACAATGGTTCTTGAGTGCCGGCCACGTCCAGGGTGTAGACTCGAATAGTGACAAACTTGGTATCAGAGCACAAGGTTCAAGTGTCCTAGGGTGTGTATGAAGCCGTGTCAGTAAGATCTTGTTTATGGTTGTGAGGGCCCT